GAAAATACCGGCATTGATGTCCTACAGTTGCTGGGAGAGGATTAAGTGACTTAATTCATGTCAGGCACTGGGACCAGTACCTGGCACATAGTAGGCACTCATAAGTGTTAGAGGAAGTAGAAAGGACCTGGGGTGTCTAGCAGGTCCTGGAGAGGAGCCTGTTAGCTCTCTCTGTCCTTGGTTGGGCATGGAAAGGGACCCCCTTTGTCAGCTCTGAGCTGCACCAGCCCACGGATAGAGCTACCACGGTGGCCCTAGTGACCTGTAAATAACTGTCCTGGGGGATGGGGGGCACTCGGTCTGCTCGAGGCTGAGCCTCTGCCAAGCCTGGAGGATGGCCTGCTGCCATGCAGTGACTCACCAGCAGAGAGGCCAGGGCTCACCTTGGGTGGCCTCCCTCTGCAGAGCCCCCAAGGCAGACTTCAGCCCTGGGGGCAGGACCAGAGAGTGGTGACGGAAATCTGTTCCTGGGTCCAGACAGAGGATGTGAGGTCTGGAGGGGGGAGGGACAGAGCAGGTGTCCTTTGTAGAGTGTGTCCCTGGCAGGTGCCCCATCCTCACCGTTTCCAGAGGAGTCAGTGTTCCCATTTCACAGATGAGAACCCTGAGGTTCACAGGGGCTGTGTCATAAGCCCACGGCCCTGGAGCTGGCACTGAAGAGCTGGGACTTAAACCCAGGGCAGGAGCTGTGAACGAAACGCCTCGTCCACTGTGTTCTCTTCAGAGCCAAGGCCAGAGCCTGGCACGTGCCAGCCCGGCGGCACCCACCTGGGGAGGGGCTGGCTGGAGGGACTGCTTCCCCTCTAAGCTGCTTGGACCCCAAGGGGAGGCCGGTGGCTGCCCGGGGAGGGGCTTCACCAGGGGCTTTGGACACCGGCTCAGTTACTGTGTGGTTTCGAGAGAAGGTTTACCCTCTCTGGGCTGCTGGGAAAGAGCAGGGTTCACCATGGGCCTTCCCGCCCTCCCTCTGTGGTGGGGGCGGATGGCAGCCACGGTGATTAATGGGCTGGGGCAGGAGCACAGAGTGCCAAAGAGCAGCTAAAGGGGCTGACGACTGGGAAGCAGGTGTGAGGAGTCTGGGCGGTGCACACTCACCAAAGAAACAAGCAGAGAAGCCCCGGCTGGGAGCTCTGCAGCAGGAGAGGGTCAGCTTAGACATCAGGAGGGACCGGCCGGGTGGTTGGGCTCTAACGCGGATGGGGTGCTGGTGTGGGGAGGCAGGAAGCACCCTCAGTGAGCGGAGGAGAGGCTTGTCTTCTGAAGGAGACATCTGCCTGACACCCCTCTCCTTGAAGGATCAAAATGGTCCCCTCCAGGTTGCCATGGAAACCAGAGGCCTGTCACTTCTGTGGCCAGGGGAGGTAGGGGAGGAAGCAGGCCTGAGAAGGGGCCTCCGACCTTGAGGTCAGGGGACTAGGGTGTGGACTGAGGAAGGAAGGAGATGCCCCCGACCACTCCCTTGGGAGAGAGAGGTGCCCACAAGAACTGTGGCTGGGGGCCCCTCAGGCAGAGCCCCAGCCCCCGCCCCCCCCCC